AAAAAAAAAAAAAAAAAAAAAAAAGCATGTACGTGTAGGTAGATACTATACAAGTGACTTGGTGACAATTCTGAGCAATATAATTTTCCTAGAGAAAAAGCAGTTCATTTTACAGCAGAGATGGCTTCTATCGTAGCTAGCAGAAACATGTACTATCATAACACTTTCCAATAATGACTCTTTCACAGCTTAAGTTTAACACTCATCCTAAAAAATCATCATAAAGCTGGGAAATCCTTGAATYACTAATGTTGCTCTCAAAGTTTCTGATGGAAGACACTTCTTTTAATACTGTTCATAAAAGGGGGAAAAAAGACAGTAATTCCATCACTGGAAACCATTTGACGCTATCACAATTGATCACTTGTGAACACTTATTTTCTCACCAAGAAACAACCCTTTATCTAATAAAAGGAAGGAAGAATGTGTCAATGTGCTATACTGAAACAGGAAGAAATCCATAAAAGGCTGAATTATCTCATTCAAGAAATTATTATTTTATAGAGAACAGGATAAATATTTAAAGCATTTCCTTTTGACAAGCCCTCAGAATTCAATTGCTTTGTGTGCACACACAAAGACACTAAGTTAAGCTCTTGATAAACTTTTTTTAAAAACAGATCTATATTAAGGAAATAGACACTTAGAAATCTGAGCACTAGTGAACAGAATTAGAGACTGCAACAGCCACTTGATCTGCACCTTTCAGCACCCCAGAGAATTCGAGATTTCTGTTACCAGCGTATGCACAAACACAGGACTCCATCTGACTTCTCAGAGCTGATTCTCAAATAAACAAACAAAACAACAACTACAATTCCCTCAAAAATCCCAAATTAAAAAAAAATAGTCAATCAGACATCTTTAGCTTGAGGGCTAAAGCTATTAATTTTAACTAGATATTAAAAATTAAAGGATAAAGGTACAGATTTTGTGTTCACTACTGCATACTGTCTCCAGAAAACTCTCCTTAGGTGAGTTTGTCAGATGTACTCACCTTTCCTATCTCTCTCCCTTTCTGTTCTATAAACTATTTCTCACAAAAAGGGATCCTGAAAGCATCTAAAAGAATTCAAAACAACAATTTAGATTTAATTTTGAAATTTTTTTTCACCCAAAACTTCAAAGCATAAATGGCTGAAGAGAACTAATGCAAAAGAAGTTTCTAAGGAGTTAACTGTGATTGTAGCTTTGATCTTAGACTTCTCCATCTCATCTCACAAATAGGGAGTTCTTTCCTTGACAGAGAAATCTTCATCCAAGAAATTAACATTAACACTGCAATCAGTAGCAATTTTCAAGTTAAATCTAGAGAAAGGAAGAAGAAATAGGCTGCTTCTGTCACCGTTCCTTTGCATCTTGATATGTTCAAAGGACAAAATGTAGCCTACTCTGCATATCAGAAGAGTTCCCAGGGTTTGTGGTACTATTCAGGTTGATACCTTGTTTTCCATTAGCATCTGAGGATGAACAGTGTTCACTGCTTCCCTTGCTGACATAGCTGAGAAATTGAGTGCCAGAAGAATTTTCTGTACCAGAATTTAACAAAAGGAGAAAGGCATCTCTGCAAAAGGCTACAAACTAYCCTGCTCTCTTTCCATGTGGACCCAGGCAGTCCGTGCAGGATTCAAAACGGGAGAGAACATCTTGTTAGACTTTTTGAGCTCTTATACTCTATCCTTCACTTATTCTTTGCTTGGATCCCGTCTTTTCAATAATCAGTGGCCTTACTAAAAGAGCCTGTGTTAAGAGCCAAGCCTAAAGAGACACCTGTACGGAAAGCTTTGCCAGAAAAGGCCAAATTTATTTACTTTTATTCTTATCATTCATTCAGTGACAAGAAAAACGCCAAGAGACTGCCAGAGATATCCCCTTCCAGTAGCCACATCCCATTCTGCAGGTTAACACCACTGTTCCCAGAAGGAAAGACGTGAATGTGCCCTKAAGATGTAACTCCTCTTCACCATCATCCTCAGGATGTAACTTATCCTCCTCACCCTGTGAGGATGTGGGAAAGTCAGAGCATGCAGTAACTCCCCTTAGGAAAGAGCCAGAGGAAAGGCTGGGGAGCAAGCAGTGCACCAAGACAGCTAAAGGACTCGTGCATATCTCTGACTTCAAAGGAAGTTATCCAAAGGTTGGCTCTGGATCCTTCCCCCCAAGTTTTATTCCAATAGCATCATCTTCATGATCTCTACCAGTCCTGTTAGTAAATTATTGTTCAAGCACTTGTAGTGATGAAGCGGTTCTCCCAAGCAAATGCTTCTTGAGATATGGATAAATCTATAAAGGAAAAAAGCTTTGTCCAAGTCTGCCAAGCAGAGGGAGTCTCATAGTTGCTACAAGGGATTTTATGGTCCTAGTCTTGAATGTGATTTCTCTAGCCATCTGTTCAGAAACCCMCACACAAAAACTACTGCTGTCTTTTCCTTTACTTGTGAAATACAGGGACTACACTCACATCCATGCACAACAGCACTGGTGCAGAAAGCAGTATGAGAGATCACTTCTCACACATTCATCCCTTCTTACTCTCATGGAGCTGTCCCCATCTGTAATGTCCATGTTTGACTATAAAAGTTGAACTAACAGTCACCACTGAAAGGTCTGAACATGGAGGAAAATAGTTTTTCATAAAAAAAAAAAAACCACCAACCAAACAAAAAAAAACCTACTCTTATGCTTAGAATAAATGCAAGTGGCGGTGAGGAATTTATTTCAGCAAACGTGAGGTTTAACYAGCAACACGAGAGAGCCACTCAATCCCACTGGCTAGAGGTTTCAGGCCAGGCTCAGAAATGATCTGGCTGCTCTGGGGTCTTCTCTGCCTGCTGTGTTTCACGGCTGGGCCAGCCCCGCTGTCAGCACCRCAAAGGGATCCATTACGAGCAGCAATAAATCCTAACACCCATGGCAGGATGGGAATCGGCAGCACAGACCCTGGCATGACAAGGTTTGGAGCCAGATGGATGTGAAGCCTCCTGAACAAAGCAGGAGCCAGTGTACCCCAGCGGCGTGCCTTCCTCGGCAAAAGGAGGCAGCAAAATTCCACAGGACAGCTGAGAAACTGAATACTTTAGTCTAGTAGTTAGTCTTATATTTTAATCATTAATAAAATAATAATAAAAAATAATAAAACCCATCACATCTGTAACTTTTTTTTTTTTTAAACAAGCTTGCCTGCCTATCAGCAGACAGGGAAATGAGGCTCTAGGAATATCTACAAAGCAGCGCTCTGCTTCGTGTTCAAGCTACTTCGAGCTAAGTTACCACAGCAATTTATTTTTCATTTTTTATTTTATTTTTTAGGATATGGGGGTTGTTTTTTCCCTTGGGATTTTATTACTGCAAAGCCTTAATGACAAGTCCTATAACACCTGTAAGTGTTGGCTAAATGGTGGCGTCCCCTACTCAGAACCCTCCTTACCCTACTGTACCAACCTGCAATACTGGGTAGCACCAAAGACGGCTGGTACCAACCACTCAGACCATTAAGGAAAGAGCTACCTCTTGAGCTGAGACATGTAGTGAAAGAGGATACAAGGAAAATCACCTGCTTCTAAAGACAAACTCACTTTTTCCTCAAAAGGACAAGCTCTCACCATACTAGTATCACAGTTAAGGACATACATTCATTTTTTGCTGTTGCTTTCCAGCCAAGAGTGGATCTGCACAGATTCATACAGTCCTTTAAGGGCCCAATCTGAGGACCCTTTTCCACTCCTGGTAACAGTGATGAATAAGCATATGCTCCGAGACGTGTTTCTGGAAGACTGAGCTGGGGGAGTTCTGAGCAAAGAGAAAAGAGAGATACACTAGTTGGAATGAGAACTTAAGAAAATTGCTAATTAACATACAGTGCTAATGTGCGAGATACAAGAGACTCAGTAAGTGACTGAATAGATTTTGAAGAACATCCTTGAAAACTGTCTTCATTTATCACAAAACTGGGTGCTCCATCCTGGAAGAGGAGGAAGAGCTGGTAAAAGAGTGTGTGAGAAGAGACTCCACAACTAAGTCCACAACGGAACAAGAAAGAAACGTGATCAGCAATAAAGGCTGAGAGAATGGCGAGTAGATCTCCACTCCTGGAAGAAAACAGTCCCTTGAACTGAAAGCTGAGGAAGTGGAAGTGAGAAGGAAACAAGCTAAGAGCTTGAGAGGCAGGCATGAAGGCAAGATGGGTGCAGCTGAAAGCAACGCTCACTCTTTATGA